TCACGTTATTCCTTATTCACAAATTTTATTTTCTCCATAGAAATCATGAATTTCATACAAACTGAAGAAAATTTATAAACAAGTGTAGTATTATTGTTTTGTTATATACCGATTTTTCCTATTGTTGAGTTCTTATATTCTTTGATTCTAGGTATATAAGTTATGTTTTTCTTGAGTGTGTATGTTTTCTCTCTTTTGTGAGTTTTGAATATAGGATTTATGTTCATATATTTGTTTTTGTAATTGGATATATGTTAAACTGCTACTACACCATTGCAGAGTAGTCATAAATATTATGTAAATGCATTAGTCTCAAACCGCTACGCCATTTAATGAAATCATTTAGTAAACTTGAAACCAGTTAGAAAACGTGTGTATCGAGCCAGAGTTCATCCTAGGTAAGGTTCTCTCCCAGGCCATTTTCCCGAGACAGCCGCACGAGAGCTCAAGATGAACTTCTTCCACTAGCGATCCTCCTCCGACTAGATCTCCGACTAGCTGACGCTGATCCCTCTCTCTTGGGCTCACCGAGGCTTAGCCCGAAGAACATCTCTCACTTTCCGCCGTCTTGTCTATCTCGTCGATGAGATCTGCCTCCTCCTTCGGCTTGCTTCAGGTATTTTGACATCAATCATGCTCTTCTCGTTGCCTGAGGCTGTACCGATGTTTGTTCTCCAGCCTCCTCTCTCCGTGACGGCGAGTCCACTCGCTCAGTACAAGACACTTCCCCATCTTCGGTGGTTGATCCCTTTGGCGGTGCCGATCCTTCTTCATCCTCTAGAGCTGTCGGATTCTTTGGATTCACCGGATCCATCTCCGCCTCTTCAAGCACCATTCCCCAATCTTCCCTCTCAACCACTGCTTCAACTATCTCCTTCGCCGCATTTACCAAAGTTAGCATCTTCTTACGTCTTCACCGAGATCTGGTTGACAGCCTCAAGGCTTTTGTGCCGACAAAAGATCATTTTCTCCGATCAACCATCTCACCCCTTGATGGGACTCAAGCTTCACCTCTTGTTGGGCCTACCCATACTACCTTTGGTGTTTTGAATAAATCGATGGCTGATTTTTATCCACCTTGCAAATTTCATAAGGCCATGATTGCTTCTATGTCACACTTCTATTTTGCCGAGTTTGCTGTACTCTATGGCTGTGACACCATTTTCCTCCTGGGCCAAGGAGAGATCATTCATCTTTTCCTCTCCTATCACGAAGAGAGAATTCACAGTCCGGCGAGGTCCATGATCTCTATTCAAACTTTTTTCATATCGGGCATGGTCGTATCTTTCCCTTTCTTTGAGAGTGGTCGTATCTTCTTCTTTCTCTTTGAGATTGGTCGTATCTTCTTCCTTTTTTTTGAAAGTAGATGTATCCACTACAAGAAAAAACAGTTTTAGCGTCGAATTTGCGTCGACACAAAATTTGCGACGCTTTTGCGTCGTTTTTGTGTCGTTCAAAAAATTCGACGCTAATTCGACGCAAAATTGAGATGAAAAATAGAGACGCTAATTCGACGCTAAATTGCATCGAATTACGTCGATTTAGCGTCCTCATCTTCAATTCGACGCTAATTTGACGCTAAATTAGCGTCGAATTAGCGTCGATCATATAGCGTCGGTTTTAGCGTCGAATATTCCGTCGAACTGGGTAGGTAGGTCGCACGTTTTTAATGGGTTCACCTACTTCTAAAAAACCGAC